AAATACCCAGCAGTGCCGTTGCTGGGTCATAAGGGAGTTCTAATTTTAACTTTTTGAGGAACCTCCACACTGTTTTCCAGAGTGGTTGCATCACTCTGCATTCCCACCAATAGTGCGTGAGTGTTCCTTTTTCTCTGTATCTTCACCCACACCTGTTGTTTCTTGTGTTGTTGATTTTAGCCATTCTGACAGGTGTGAGGTGCTATCTCAGTGTAGTTTTGATTTGCATTTTCCTGATGATGAGTGACGATGAGCATAATTCTTAAACCAGTGTTCAACTTATGTAAACTTGAAATGCAGTAAAGAGACAGTGACTCCTTGTAAAGAAGAAAGACTCAAGGTCCTGGGCAAGGGTTAACTTTGGAAGTGGCATTTTTACATCATTATAAAAAGGAAGCATGGATAATTAAAATAGTCTACATATACAATTCATTTGACAGACAGTTATTGAAAGTATACCAGGCACCAAGCACTGGGCTGTGCACTAAGGTTTTTTTGTTGTTGTTTTTTTTTAATGAATAAAATTCTAACTTTGACCAGCTTCCCCCAGAAGATGACCTTGAAACAATGACTTGAGTGAAAGTGTTTTACTTGTAAGCTGATCCCAGGAAGTACCAGTAAGAGAGTGACGCAGCAAAAAGGGAAAGAAGCCAATAGTTGAGCCAATTATCGAGCAGGTTATTGCTGTGGGCAATTTGAGTTCAACCCTGATGAGTGAACTCTGGGAGACAGTGAAAAATGCACCTCACCGCTGTTACCCACAAAGGGTAATTATCTTCCAACTCTCATTTATCATTGGCTCATTCATTTGTCAATCCCTTACAGTAAGATTTCCACCACACCAATAAAATTACTTTGTGTATGGTCCTGAGGGAATTCCATGTGGTCAAAGCCAATGGATACTTTTGGCATGGCTTTGGGGAGTCTGACTATTTGGGTCCACGTGTTGGCTCTCCCACTCACTAACTGTATGACCTTATGTCGATTCTTTAATGAAGTCTGTTTCTTCCTCTGTTCAATGAGAAGTAGCAACAACAGCAGCATAAACAATGATACCTACCTCATAAGATCATCATGTTGATTAAATGAATTAACACTCATACAGAACTTAAAACCGTGCTTTAAGCAGTGGAGGAATTCAAGTAATGTTAATTATTATGATTTTTATTATCTGGCATGACGTTTATATGGCTTTTAAAAGTGTTAACCACTTTTGGGTTTTTGCAATTCTTTCTTATCCACGTATTTATGAAAGTACACTTTCCAGGCATTCCTCCTACCTCTCTAGCCATTCATTCATCCTATTGGCTACTTTTGCTTCATTCTGTCTTTATGTGTTGTACTTTCCAGGACTTGATCTTTACCCCTGTGTTCTGTTCAATCTACATACCATGTCAATGAGAATGCATTCACATTGAGGTCTTCATTACTTCTCTGTAGTAATTTCTAATCCTGGATTCCTCTCTCTCCCCAGATACATGGCTTTGCCATCGTACCTTCAGTCCATGTGACTAAAATGATAATCCTTTGTAGATGATCCTCAAAACCTCCCACTGAATAGGTCCAAGATTGAACTCATTATCTTTTCCCTGGAACTGTTCATCTTTATTCTTTGGGTAGATAGCAAATAACAGTTTTATCTAACAGGCACCAAGCAGAAGCCAGGAAATCTGTCTTGACTCCTTTGTTTCCCCACAGCTTAGCATAATGCCTGGTATCTAGTAGATGGTAAATAAAATGGTGACTGTCAGGCTGGATGAATGGATTGATGGGTAGGGGTACTTGGAGGGGTAGATGGATTATTGAGTGAGTCTGTAGCTCGTAATTTTATTTAGTTAAGTATTATCTGATGGATCATGTACAGTTGAAGGTCAGGGATGAGAAAGCACGCCCTTAGTGGGATGAACCAGTTTTCCTTGCTACATTACATACACATGACCCCTTTGGGTTGAAAACTTTTACTGTTGTGACTGAACAAGCATTCAAATGGTATATTTGTCTGAAATAATGATCTGGGCTATGAAAGTTTCCTCCTTTTGCCACAATGAAGAGATACATAAACATACAATAGGAAGAACTATCTTAATTTTTTTCTCCTATGATGGCCTTTTTAAATATAAGATTATGTCTACACTGTTGAAATAAACTATAAGATGTATGAAATACTCGCTGGCATGAATGCAAATGGTTTACCATGTTTATATCAAAAATACTAAGCATTTTAAAAAGTTTGCTAGCATAATGTCACTAATCAAGGCTGATTAATGCAAAAACAAATTGAAATCAGAGACTTTTTTAGGAAAGCCAATTTTGTTATTTTCATATACATGTAGTATATAAAAATAGGCTAAGAAAAAAATAGTGCCAACTATGCATAATAAAGTAGCCGGCCATGATAAGTTGAAAAAATGGTTTGTAATTAGAATATCAGTTATTTCTATGACTGATGGAGAATTATTTCAGAATATGTAAAGACATATTTTAAACAGCTTTCTTATAATAACATTTACACTATTAATTTTGTAAACTAAAGATTAAACAGAAGACTAATTAATAACTGTAAATCTCACCTATAGTAGGTGTCGCACTACCCTGTGAGGCAATAACAATGAAACAAACAAACAAAAAAGAAGGGTGCTCAGAGATTATAGAGAGAGACTGACATTTGTTTTAACACGTGTTAACCTAAATTGGAATATAATATGCTGACTGGTTTTGCAACACCAAGCAAATACCCAAAGAGAAATGAACCCAATAAAAACAGTCGTTTATGATGAGCGCCACTCACCTGGTTTAACCTATTCTAGGTACCAGATTCTTGATTTCATGTCACAATCACTAGTCTTCTAAGGTTTGTCTAGTTCTCATGCTTATTCACAGAAAATCTCAAGTACTTCTTTAGCTCCTAAGTTATCTTAACTTTATGGGGGCAACAATAGAGTTAATTAAGAAGGACTAAACTTAACATCATGAAGGACAATTTTACAGTACTGTGCTGTGTACATTTTATTTATCTATCCAAAGCCCCTCTTGGCCCTTCTCTTCTTTGGTCTCTACTCTGAGGGGCTGATGTGTGTCATCACTGGGCTCCCGTGCCCTCTGGCTTCCAGTTGGTTTACCCACCAGGGAGACTTGGTAGGAGAGAGAGGACAAAGTGAGATCAGAATATTTATTCTCCTGGTTCCTTCTGTGAAGTTGCCTCAGGCCAATGGTGTCCCTTGGCAAAAGTTACTGCACTTCTCAAGGTGGTTTCTCCTCATGATGCTCAGCTTCTGGCGACTTTCCCCTCCCCTAATTTCCTGGCTCTCAATGTAGTAACGGCGCCACTGCCACAAGGCCCAATTTCTTGTATTATCCCAATTTCTTGTATTATCCTGTATAATTATAAAATTATAACCATGGATTAAAATTTAATGATTTTTAATGTAAATTTATTAAAAGAAAACTATGTTTAAGCTGAAATGAACAGTGGACTTTTCAGCCAAAGTATAGATTAGAGGAAAACTGATGGCTACTATCAACCTTAAAATTAATTGTGTTTAATTCAGAAATCTTTGGTGATTTTCCTACACCCAGATTATGTTGTAATTTGTTCCTTTATAAATAAATCTCTTGGATTATCCAGGCCAGATCACAGAGGAAAATGTATGTCAAGCTAAAATATTCCAGAGGACAGTGGGGAGACATTGAAGGGTTTAAATAAGAGAGTGGGGCGATCAGATTTATATTAATTATTACTCTCTCTGTAGTGTGAAAATTACATTACAAAACAGAGACTTGAGACAAGAGGGGCTGTAGAGTCTACTGCAGACATGTAGGCAAAAAATGATAGAGCTTTGCAGTGGGAATATGTGAAAAGTGGGAGGAGTTCTGTATGAGAGAACTTAGTATCCAATTATATATAGTATTCATTGAGACCTCAGGAAAAATCTAGAATGTCTGTCAGGTTTTGCTTAAGGGATAAAGTTGATAGGGGTTTTATTGCTTATTTTCCAGGACATCATTTCTATTTTATGAAATCAGCTTAAAGAAAAGATAATGTGGTCCTTAAAAGAAAAAAACAATGTGGTCATGTTTATTTTTAACATAACTAAAATAAAGTACTTCAGAGCAGAATTCATAGGGCAGCTCCATCTTTGACTCACAATGATACCAAAAAATGGCCTCAGTATAAGCCTGTCTTACTTACAGAATATAACCAGTATGAATTCTTAGATATTGTTACAAGACATTTCCAGTAGGCCTACCTGCTCTTGGGTTGCCCCAGAAGAAGACCAGAGCATGTGGTTTATTTGGGAGTTGAGGGAGTGAGCAAGTAAGAAAGGCAGGGCAGTCAATAAAGGATGGTGCATTATCAAGCAGGTTACTCCTGTGAGCCACCGGAGCTTCATCCCACTAGGAGAACCCTGGAACCCTTGTAAAATAAGTGCTCCCCAGTGAAGTGAATAAATGCTCCCTGGCATGAAGGGGGCTAAAATATTCATACCCTGATATGTGCCATCAGCCCTTGGTTACAGGCTGCTCCTGGGAGGGGGGGTGGAGGGAATCATTGATTCACTGGTATGTCTAGCCTGCCACTTAGGTGGCAAAACAGATTCTTTGTGGCACCACGAATCCTTCAATGAATGAATTGCCAAGGATAGTATCAGAAGTCAGGTTGTTGGGCACTGAAGCGGTAAGGGCAAGGGGATTCAGGCATTCTGCTCTAGTACTTTTCTAAAAGATTATTCATATTTGGCTCTGGGGATTGAGAATAGACACAGTTAAATTTTTACATACACTACTGATGTTCTAGGTCACCTTGAGGAAGATAACTTAACCTCATGTTTGCCATTGGAAAAAGTAAGGAATTCTGTTGTCCATTATCCTAGCTGTAACACAATGAACAATTTTTTTAAATAAATAATATATAAAGTGAGATCATCTTTGAAGGTTAAATTTCAGATGTCTTCTCCAGGCTAGCATTTACTCCTATATATTCATTTTTCCTTCTATTCCAGTTGAAAGAATTCAGAATCAGTGGGATGAAGTACAGGAACACCTTCAGAACCGGAGGCAGCAGTTGAATGAAATGTTAAAGGATTCAACACAATGGCTGGAAGCTAAAGAAGAGGCTGAGCAGGTGTTGGGACAGGCCAGAGCCAAGCTTGAGTCATGGAAGGAGGCTCCCTACACAATGGATGCAATCCAAAAGAAAATCACAGAAACCAAGGTTGGTATCATAGATATGTTCTTAAAATAAAATACCAGTTATACTGGATAAAATTATAACCATGGATTAAAATTTAATTATTTTTAATGTAAATTTATTAAAAGAAAACTATGTTTAAGCTGAAATGAACAGTAGACTTTTCAACCAAAGTAGAGATTAGAGGAAAACTGATGGCTAATATCAATCTTAAAATTAATTTTGTTTAATCCAGATATCATAGACTGGTTTTCACATTACACCATCTTTTGAGATCACTTCATAGTTGATATACATAATTGTGTGGTAGCATAAAGTCAGTCATTTGGGATTAATTCCTTCCTAGAAAAAGTAATGGGTCTGCTCCTTCCTAAGTAGGGCCCTGAATGGAGAAGGGGGGAGGAGTGTAAGGATAAGGCAAGGATAAGGGGTCTTCTCACTTTCTTCTCCAGGTCTTTGACCTTCAGACCAATTTCTCTACTTCTTTCTCTTCCTTCTCTTCTTCTTCTTTTCCCCCAAAACTCCATCATATATCTGTCCCCTTCAGAGTCTAGAACTCGTTGTGATAAAAGAAAGGGAAAAGAAAAAGGAAATAATACTTGTTTACTGATTATGTTTTATCAAGCATCATGCCTGGTGCCTTACATGCTTTTAATTCTTTCAAACCTCGTATTTATGGATCAGTTGGGAAAGACCTTAAATGCTAAGTGGAGAAGTAACACAGTGAGAACTTGATTAGATTGAATTTTTTATTAAAACCCTCTATAGATTTTTTTTTCTGGTGTAAAAAGGCCTTCTGCTAAACAATTGTCTGAATCACAAATGAGCTATGTCATCTAAGAAAAAAGACCTTATATTGTGGTTTTCTTGGATGAAGTGACTTCCATTTCTCAGTGAGTCAGTGTTTAGGCTGTGCTGAGCTACATGGCATATGTATTTATGCTAGGTTTATTTGGAAAACATAAACCCTGAAATCTCAATAGTTTAATATAATAAAGATGAATTCCCTGGTTGTATCATACTCCAGTGGAGGTTGAAGAGCCCTTCCTGGGAGCTCTCTCATAAATAGCGACTTGAGGAATCCAGGCTTCTCCGATTTTGTGATACTATTAACTCATGGCTGACCACAGTCACTGCAAGAGAGTAAGAGAGAATGTGGCCAGTTTATCCATGGGGTTCTATGGATAGGCCTGGAGATTATGTACATCACTTCCACCCACCTCCCGTTGACCAGAACGTGTTCCCAATTTAACATAAGGAAGAGTAAATAGCAATAGTGAGCAAATGAGCTTTTAGCCAGCCTCGGCTGTAGGTACTTCTCCAAAGGACCTGCGTTGCTATGAGGACAAGATTTTTGTTCGTATGACAAGAATGTTAGAAAGTGACATAGGATTTTACAGACTCATCATTGCCTCTGTTGGAAGCAGTTATTTCTTTCACAAGAGACTTGTTGCCACTAGGATTTTCTCCTTTGGATTAACATAGAAGGCATAGGAATTTCTTTTTTCTTTAAGATTTTATTTATTTATTTGACAGAGACAGAGATAGTGAGAGCAGGAATACAAGCAGGGGGAGCGGGAGAGGGAGAAGCACCCCCCCGTCCCCGAGCAGGGAGCCCGATGTGGCACTCAATGCCAGGACCCTGGGATCATGACCCAAGCCAAAGGCAGATGCTCAACGACTGAGCCACCCAGGCGCCCGGCATAGGAATTTCTAATGATGATGTTCCCAATTCCTCAGTTTGACTATGGGAAAGATAGAATTCATGCAGCTGTTCTTGAAGGCTCTGGTCTTATCCATAAGGTACTCAGTATGTTATGCCATTTCTTTTTACTGTCCAAAAACAGGATTCTATGAATCTAGCAGATCTTAGAAGAAAGTGATTAACTGGTGGAGAGGAATTAACAGGGGAAAAGAGTTTGGGCTGGACCCTTGAGTTAGAAGAAGGGAAGGAGAGATGCGAGGCATTTGTGATAAATTTGATAAGGGCAAGAAGACTCTGCAAGCTGGCACATGAGAAATCTTAAAACCTGTAAGAATCTTAAAGTGATGGCAAGAATGATTAGGGTTTTATAGCCCTTAGAAAAGCAAGGGGCTTTTAATAAGAGATGAAAAGAAGGGCAAAAGAAAATATGAAAGGATAAAACGAAACAATTTCATCATCAAAACAAGTCGTATGTTTTAAACACCTAAAACAAAGACAAGATGGTATTATAATTGCTATCCTTGTCAAACTTTCAAAATAAAAAAATTGGTTTTCAATTGTCAGTCTAAAACTACATCATAAAAATGGCTTAGCCATTATCTATAGAAACTCATGTTTTTGTTTGTGTTATATGTTATATGTTAGGAATTCAACTATATATATATATAGTTACACTTTCAGTGTATGTTCATTATATAAAGACCAAAACTGTAATTTTCCCATCCATTTCCTAAATGGTTATGTTAAAGCTAAAAGTAATCCTAATGCTAATACTAACATTTAGCAAGTACTTGCCAATTGTCAAAAATTGTGCTAATCATTTTACATATATTGGCTTGTTTCACCCTCTCAGGAATCTTCCATGAAAACTATCATTGTTCACAGTTTACAGGTGAGAAAATTGAAGCCTAGAGAAGTTCAGAAACTCTTAAAAATCATAGAGTTAGGATGTGAATGCATAGCAATCACTCTTGTAGATGACTTCACAGATTTTCTCTTCTACCCATTGTGTTCTGTGTGGCTAAAACAAATCAAGAAAACACTGTGAAGATCAGAAAGGGAGACAACTGTAATTATGAATTGACAAATAAGATCATATTACTGATAAGCCAACAGGTGGGAAATGAAAACGATGGAACAGTATACTGGGGAGAGGTTTTCATATTCTGTTTTACTATGAAAAACTAAGAGATAATTGCAAATTATATCCCCTTTTTTAATGAAACTACAATGTTTAATTTTTCTAAAAGTCAGGGAGCATATAAAATGGGGATCTGGCCTTTATGTCTAATATGTTATCACTACTGAGTGGTAATAGCTGGCTTATCACTTACAATTTTCTTTTACAAAGAAAGGGTGAAAATAGACATAAAGAGGCATTGGATAATTTGAGCAGGATCTCCTTGCTCCGTAAATTCTTTCCGAGTCTCCGTGCCTAAGATTAGCAAAAGAGCTGGTGAGCCTCATAAGGCGATCATCAGGCTGTGTCCACGGAGGTGGAGGTGGAGAGCTGTGATTGAAGCAGCCAGCATCCCTTGAAGCAGCGTCACTGATGACTCCCCTCACCATCACAGTAGTAAGATACTCTTGGAAAATCTAAACCCGTCATCGCACCTGGACTAAAGAAAAATTCATCTGCAATTCTTATATTTTTATGATTCATCATTGCTCATCTTTGTCTGTAATCTCTTCCATTTCTTATCTATGTATTTTCATTGTCCTCATTATGGAGATAAAATTTTGAATTCTGAGTTTAAACTTAGTATCCTTAGATAAATACTTATAGATTGTTGCTTTATAACTTTTGATAATTATCATTTTAAATTCCTTACACTATCTCATTAAGTTCTACCCTCAACCATTTCCTTACTGATTGGACATTCAGACAGCCTCCTCCTCTTGGTTAAAAAAAGTAGCAGAGAAAAAAAATGGGGACAACAACAAGCCCGTTGTTGAGGAGAGGAATCAAATCTGAGGTAGCATCCAGGGACAGTCCATCTTGAAAGCATGGTCAGGCTGGAAGGAGATGGCAACCAAAGAGTCTTGATTTATCAAAAGAACAAGCTATAGATAGCCCATCATGTTGATGATTAATGAGCAGGTCATTAAGAGATGCCCATAATATATGTAGTTTCTTTCCTATATAACCCATAATGTGAGGAAGTAGCCGATTCTGTTAACCACACGGCTTCATTTGATCTTCTCCATGGCCCTAGTAAAACAATAATGTTTTTTTGAGATGGAAAGACAGATGTTAGGGAAAAATCATACAGGATTTCCATTTTAATCAAACTCCCTGCCAATAAGCTATGACAGAATCCTATGAGAGATGATGCCATTTAACTTTCATAAGAAGTAAGATGGTGTGACATTGGCACCTAAAATTGCCAGCAACGGTCATCATGGGATTTATTTTATTTGGCAGAATCTTGGTTGACTTCACAACCTGTTCCCCAGGCTATTAAGATTGGTCCAAACTTGGCAATGAGTTCTTTGGAAAAATTATTTCTTGATGATTTTAAGCTTTCTTTTCCAGTATCAAGAGAGATTTACCCAGGCTCAGAGTTTTCATTTATTTTTTCCCCTTTCAGCTTTTGAAAGAGAAATTCCTTTTTTGTCTGCTTTGTGATTGCTTTTGTGTCAAATTCAGCATAAAAGCTTTTCAAACGTGACGGCATTAGCTGTTTTGTGCTTGGCTGAGCTAAGAGTACATGAATTCAATACAGAAGTGAAATCTTGTTTGAGCTTAGCTGATTTGGCTCTATAATACTTAAACCTATCTGAGGCGAGAAATCCAATAATTTATCAAATTATTAAATAAACATTTCCAAGGCTGCAAAATATCTGTGTTTTGAAGACATTCTTTTTTTTTTTTTTAAAGATTTTATTTATTTTTTAGAGAGCGAGTGAGAGAGAAACAGCATGAGAGGGGAGAGGGTCAGAGGGAGAAGCAGGCTCCCCACCGAGCCGGGAGCCCGATGTGGGACTCAATCCCAGGACCCTGGGATCATGACCTGAGCCGAAGGCAGACGCCTAACCATCTGAGCCACCCAGGCGCCCCTTGAAGACATTCTTTAGGGAGCTTGAAAGAGAGATATATTGTAATCATGTAATTAATTTAAAAAGTTGAACTTGTTATATATAGTAAATACAGTAGGTGTTCGAGGATCTCAAATTATTTTACTAGGAAAGAAGCTAATGGAGAACTTTTTCAAATATGAAAGTAGAACATTGTACTTTTAATTATTTGGGGGGATGGGTAGTATTAGATCATATCCTTATCTGCCATAAGGATGTGCATAGTAGTGGAAGCTGAATT